AACGCAGATGTACAGGCTGAACCAGATGTCTGTTTTGAGTCCTTGGTGCACATGCCCAACATCCATTGGATAGCTGCTCTCTGGATGAATGTCAGGTGCTCTGTGGCTCTCTCTCCTCTCCTTCCCCACCACATGTGGGAGTTAGAGGGCTGGGGTAAGGGAGGATTTTGATGACTTCATCTGTGACAGTTGTCAGACTGCAGTTCTAGCCACATGAGACAATGGACCATCCTGTTCCCCCATCAGCACAGCTGTCAAGGGGTGAGGATGTTCCTGCTTCACTGACACTGAAAGGAAGGCACAAGCAGCATGAAGACCCACTTTAAGGGACAGAAGCCCAGAAGCCTTTCTGGGTTGCACTTGTGTGATTTAGTGAGCATTTCTGTACTGTCATTCACAACATGGATTTGGGAAATCAACTGAGGTAGGCTTGAATGCTGAGATTGTGTGGCTTTGGACAAGGTCTGAAGCTCTCTGAGATGCCCTTCTCTCTTTATTCCAGGCCCACATTCATAGAGGTCTTCTGTGAAGGCAAACATGGATGACATTTATAGCTCACCCAGCCATAGGGCCTGGTGCTCAGAGGCAGTTCTTACTCTTCTTGACAGGTTTTACATCTTACAACTTCTAAGGAATGGCCCAGTTTATCAAAACTGTCATTTGCCTAGGATTTTACAACAAGAAAATCATTTTTAGCTGCCTCACCCAGATGAGCCTCACAGAAGCTCTGTGAAGCAGGCATTGTCATCACCTGTTTTGGAGATGAGAAAACAAATACTTGATAACTTAACCCAAGTCCCTCACAAGGGACCACCAAGCTTTGAGTCCTGTGGTCCTTTTAGCACCCCAAGCTCTCAGGACCCTTCATCTCCATGGAAACAGAAATGGACCTAGCATACAGTACTGGGTAGTGTCTTCAGCTGAGAAAAAATAATTCCTCAGCAGCCAGCTGGGCTTGCTATGGAATCTCTAGGGCAGTGTTAGGTCCTGGCAAGAACACAGAGGTGACAGAACTACCATTTAGGAGCACCTACCACTTGCTAGGCACTTGTGTGGTTATTGTCTCATCTGTCCTTACGCCAGTCCACAACAGGCTGAGCATTTCTCCAATTTGTTGCCAAGACCACTGAAATGGTGAAGCCACACTGGCTTTTGAGGCCAGGCCTGTCTCCCTATTCCTCACCAAACAGCTCCTGTAAGCCTGCCAGCCAGTGGGGAGATCGGCATCCATAGAGGCCTGGGCTCCAGAACAGACAGGGAATTGGTGTAACTCAAGGCATGACTGTTCCCCACAACTCAAGTCTTAGAGACAGCTAGAGTGGACTCTAGTCTCTCCAGTGTGAGGACTTATGCTGATTAGAGAGTGTTAGGCCCATCCACTGGCACTTTAGGAGGCAAATATGACCCCTAGTGAAACCTGGAGAGCAGGTGCCTCTGTGCCTGGCCCGGGTAGGACTAGCCCGGCACTCAGGGTTCCCCTTCCCCCAGGTTTATGGTGTGTTGAGGAGGCAAGTGTGTCCCCTGGGCTTGGAAGTCAGAGGGGCCTGCCCTGCTTTTAATCATAGTTTGGCCACTTCCTGGCTGTGTCACCTTAGCTTAGACCCTTGCCTGCTCTGAGCCTTAGTTGTATCATCTATGAAATAAGTTTAATAGGTTAGGGTAATAATGTATCCTATATGTACTGTATCTAGCACAGTGCCCTAGCATGGAGTGGGTACATACATTTCTGAACACCTTCTGTAAGCAGGCATATTGAAAGACAATTGGGAGCCCTAGAAAATGTGTGCTTTCTAGGTCTCAAGGTCCCCAGGTCATGGGGACTATACATGCAGTCTGTATGCATTCATGCAGATCCAGCAGATGCCACTTCACACTGGGTGGAGCCAGGCAGAAGACCTGTGGTGTAGAACTCCTCAAAGGCCTCAAAGAGGGCAGCATGACAGTCCTTGTCAGGAACAACTGGCCCCACCCAGCCTGTGTTGGGTCATATAACCCAAGGCAGCAATGAGCTGCTGGCTGGCCATTCAGCCTTGCTGCAAAGAGCTTTGTAGCCTGGCACCTGTGGCTGGTGTTCAATGTAACCAGAGGATTTGAGGATCTTCTCTTAAAAAGAAGACAGAGGAAAGAGCAGAAAAAAACTATGCTGATGTCTCATGAAGGGCAGTGGCTGGGGCTTACCAGGGAGAGGTGTGGCGTGGTCAGCCTGTATGGGAAGCACTTTATAAGCTCTGTATTTATTATTTTTTTTTGCTCACCATCAAAATCAAATGTACTCTGTGCTTTTGTATTCAATACACATTTAACCCTGCCGACTTAGATTTCTCAGGTTTTAAATCCAGTGGGGAATTGGCTGGCTTCCCAACTTTCCCCTCCAGTCCCCCTGAACCAAGCTGGAAATCCCTGTTTAGCATTTTCTCCCCAGGCGCCACTGGGATCCTAGCCGTGGTGGGCCAACCACCCCTGTTGTGCATGTGGGTGGTTTTCTCCCTCTGCCCAGCCCCCACCCTTCCTAAGCACCCTGAAAGGGCTATGTGATTGCTGGAATATGATGGGGGTTGTTTGCATCATTCTGTGATTCAGGCCTAATTAAACCTTTTTGCCTGGGTGTGCCTATGCCTGGTTATGGTTTTCCAGTGTGTGTGAGTGAGTGTGTGTGTGAGAGAGAGAGAGACATTTGTGTGGTTTTATGTGCCTTCACCTCTTGTGCATGCCTTTGTGAAAGTCTGTCTGTGAGGTTGTGAGTACATTGCAAGCTCAGGCCTTGTGCATCTGGGTAGTTGTCTGTGAGAATAATTTTGTGCCTGGCATTGTCCACACCAGTGAGGTGTGTATGACTCTGGGTGGTTCTATAACTGCGAGGGTGACTGGCTCTGGTCCGTTGTGTCTTCCTCTCCCTCCCCCACTACTCTCCCTCCCTCTCCCTCCTCTGTCTGTTTTATCATCCCTAATGAAGCAGTCTCCTCCATCGATCCTGCTGATTGCCAACCCATTCCTTTTGTTTGTTGGCGCTGAGCCATTCAGCGGCACTCTGACAGCTCAGCTCGTCTAATTAGCTCTGTTGTTCTTTTTCCCCATGTTTCACCACGCTGCAAGTTCAGTTGAAGTTGCCACAAACTTAATCCCCCCATTTCAGCCACAAGTTCACATTCTTAACCCGCCTTTATTGCAGCGAGGAGCAGCCCTGTGCAGGATGAGCTGACAGGCCTTAATGTCTGACCTTTCCTGAGCACCCGGCTGGGGCCCCAGCTTGGGCAGAACTGCTCCTCCACTCCAGCTGCATGCTGCCTTTGTGGGGAGAATCTGGGGGAGCCTTCCAGCCAGGGAATCCTGTGCACTGCTGCCAGAGGAGCTTTGCTGCGCTGGCGAAAGCAGTTCAGAGTTGGAATGAGGGATGGATATATGCATTTGTTTGTTCAGCAAATGGTGGCCAAATACCTGCTGGGTAGCAGGTGCCCTTCTAATAACAATAATAATAGCAACAGTATTGTGCACCTCTTAGATTCTAGGCACCAATACTCATGTTTCTGCAAATCTTGCTGCTGAGTTTCCACTATATGCCAGGCCCTGCACAGGATGCTAAGAGGGATCAGATCACCCTGAAATCCACCTTCTAACTCAGAGGCACCCCAGGTCTTCCTTTTGTCATTGCTAAGAAGGGACATTCAGGTCTCAGAGAAGCAGGATAGTATCTATAGATCACCCACCATGTACCAGACCCACAGTAGGGCATTTCCTGCACCTTGTGGTTGAGTCTTCAGAACAGCTCCATGGAAAAAGACAGAGCAAGTTCAGCAGAATGCATTTGGCTTTTACCACATCTCTGATTTGCCAAACAAGGCTGCACTCAGACTGGACACTCCACAGGAAAAACTTTGGTTAGATTAGACATGTGCAGATCTAAGGGCTTGATGAGACCCTATAAAGATTTGTCTGTGTGCAACGAACTTCTGCAATCTTGTTCCTAAGCTACTGTGCTATGTTGCCCACAAATTGCTAGGGGTTAGAGGTTCAGGGAAAAGGGCAGGCAGGGAATGAAGGGGATGCATAGTCTCCTTCCCCATCTTTTCCACAAAACTAAGCAAGTGCATGTCGCATATGCAGGGAAAGGAAGCCCCCTGCATTGGCCACAATGCTTGATTGTTTTTATCTGCAATGAAATTCACAGAGACTTTCTAAGCTCATCCCTCTCTGTCGTTGGAAGTGGTCAGAGATAACGGTACAAATGTAAAGCCATGTACTGTTGATTGAACCAAATGAGTCTTCTTCTCAGTGTACCTAGAAATTCTTAACCTGACACCCATCATGGGCTCTGATGAGGAAGGGAGGCATCTTTCTCTCTGGGCCTTTGTCCTGGCTCTCAGAGGTGGTGGCTCAGAATAGCCCATCTTGTCACCGCACTAGCTACAGGTTGGAAAGCTGTCCACTTTGTAGTATGCCCACTCTGCACCATAAGTGTTGCCACACAAGGCTGAGCCCTGTGGAAGTCTGGCACAGGGATGCCCTGGGAAGCAGAAGGGTGGCTTTGATTGGCACTCTCTGATGTTATTACTTGCTTTTCCCTCACATTTAGACAGGAAAATAAGGATCCTGAAATTTGACTGTAAAAAGAACAAAATAAGCATGTGTAGCTCCAACACAAGCCTGAGCAAAACCATTTTGCTTTGCATAGCTGTTTCTAGGTTCCATGAATAAGGCCCTCTTTGCTTCAGGTCCCATGTAGACCTCACATTTGAACAGCCTGTGAAGGGGCTGGTGGGAATGTACCCATCCTACAGATGAGAACCTTTCTGACCTGAGTAAGCCACAGAATTCCACACAATGTATCTACTTGCTGCACATTACGACCACATGGTGGTCTTTCCATGATAAGCGGGGCTTTTGTAGCCTATACCTTAAGAATCCCTAAACATTTCTTCTGGGACCACTTATCCAAATCTTTGAAATGTCCCTCTATGGCTTTTCCAACTCACTCCTTGGGAATTTTCCTGTGCCCTCTCTAGGTGCGACCACCTCGACCACATGTTGTCAAGAGACCGAAGAGCAACATCACCATGGAAGGCCGGAGGACATCTGTCTCCAGCCCTGAGCAGTGAGTACTCATGGCCCCTCCCCTCTGTCTGCAAGAACACAGCAGGGCCTGAGCTTTGCAGCCCTGGGCTCTCAGAGGCGCCTCTTGAGCCCCAAGCAGGTATTTCACAAAGAGGTCAGTCAGAAGCAGGGTTTGATCTTCAGAGTTGGCTTCTCTCATTCCTTCTGCTTGTCTGACTGTCACATTAGCAGGAGGCTCCAGAGGCAAAGGAGCCTGGCACCTGGGCCACGTTTGGAGTGGTTAAGCCCAAAGGGCACTTGGACAGGGTCTAAGGAAGGTCCCAGATCCTGTATGCTGACAATGTAGAGTCTGCAGGTGAGAGTCATCAACCTGGTCAAGGAGGCCACCTGTTTTAACAAGGTCCTCTGCTTCCTAGGCCTGGGCTCTAGGTCTCTATGGCACAAGACTTCCTCACTTCGTTCACCTCTGTCATAGTGTTTATGTTGTTAGGACTTTTTCTCTGAACCTGCCCTCAGACCTGGAGCTTCTTGGGCAGGTCCTGGGATGTGCCAGGAACTATCCTAGAACCAGCGTAGGTCATGTGCAAGTGGTTGTTGGAGAGATGAGGTGAATGAGCAAGGCAAAAAACAAGCCATGGCCAGAGGCTGAGGAACCTAGTGGGGTGGGGTCAAAAGCTGCAGACAGCCCCATTCCAGAGCCACTTCCCTTTGTCCCTGATACACACAGCCCTCAGCTCTGCCCAGACAAACTCAGCAGTGCTCACTGACTTCCTGAGATGCCTTTAGAAAATACATAAATCCATGTTAGTCTGGGGTTGTTGGAGGAATCAAAAATCAGTCCTTTGGGTAGAAAGGGGAATGCTCCCTATGTATGGCCTTTCAGAAAATTTCTCAAGGAAAAATTTTAAGGGAAATGGCAGGTCTGAGCCAGAATTGGATCCAAAAGGAAGAAAAGATTCTGAAATGTCAAGCTGTGGCCTTACCCAGGTTGCAGTGCACTTTATTTTTCCCAGTATTCTCTGCTTTACAATCAGATGACCCTCAGACTTGAACAGAAAGCTCAGTGCAGTCGGGAGGGGGAGTGTGTGGGGGGGTGTGCGTGTGTGTGTGTTTTCCTGGAGATACTTTGATATGTGAGATTTGGAAGAGAGGACCCCAGAAGTTGAGTGCAGGTTTAACTTGTGCTCTGCACAATAGGACTGTGGGAATAATGTGTGACAGCTCCCTGGCGGTGGATTATGATTGCCCCCTTGTGGAGAGAATGCTGCATGACTCCGGACTTCTCTGATCCTAAAGATTTCTCCAGCCGGGAATGAAATTAACTGCCTTTCTTTAAAGTCACCCCTCTGCAACTCATCTAAACCTTTGCTACAAACCCAAAGTGTCCTTGCATCATGCAAAACACCTAGACCAACAGCACTTCATATCCTACGGAAAAGCATTGCCCATTTTGCGGCCCAATTCCTGGTTAGAGGTTGGACTTTCTGACCACATTTGTTTATCCTGCTGCTCTGCCAAAACCAGCAAGAGGGGATGACTAGTTAGTGTGTGCATAGAGTCAGCTGTTAATACTGTTTTCCCATTAATTGCCTGAGCTGTGTCGGTATTACTTTTTGTTTCTTTTTGCAATGTGCCCATCTTAGATTTCTTTTTGGGAAGCATCAGGAGTTGAGATGAATCAGTGTGAGTGTGGAGGACTGATTTGGGGGTTAACAAACCATCAGTGATAAGAAATAAATGACAGGTCCTCTGTGACCACACCTCACAGCAGTTCAGCCCCCAAGGAAGTAGTGAGGTACATTTTGGGACGTCATTGCAAGGGTTTCTTTTCACATTTTCTTAATGAGGAGGAGGGGAGGCTGTGCTCCCATCATGTCAGTGACATTTCTGGTGCCACCCGGGTGTTTTCCTGCATCTCTTTCATGCTGCCATCCCCCCAGACCCCCCCCCCACTTCGTGCTCCTCCACTTCCAAATGCCATGTCACAACAGCACTTGGATGTGTTTTTCTCAACTGTCATCAGCTCCAGCTGGCAAGACCAACTTCTTGAAACACAGGAAGCATCCAGCGGAAAATATTTTAATAAAACAGACTCCTCATAAAATATTGTTCTGGGGGGAAGGAAACCAGCTCCACCAATCTGTCGGCATTGTGTTGGGAGGCGAGAAGACGAGCAGGCAGGCAGGAGCCAGAGCCTAATAGGCCTTTGTTGGGGGTGTTTCCGTGTTGCGCACATGGACTCAGTGCCTGGCCCTTTCATCTGGACTGGCTTTTCTTGAATCCTGGGCCTTTGTCTCTATTGGGAATATCAAAGTGCATCAGAAACTTAGAGGACTGGGGCAGCAGAAGAGGATGTAGGATCTTTGAAATTGGGGGGGGGGGCGGGGATTCAATCCTGACTTCTTGCCCCAGCCCTCACTTCCAATAGCACATTCAGTAATTAACTTTTTGGATAGCAAGATGGAGCTGATTAAGAATGAGAGCATCCCTTGCAGCAGTCGAGCATTCTGGGATCCATCCAGACTGGCAGTGTTGGCTCTGTGGCTGGTTCATCATTGAAGTTTGTTCCTTCCATTCCAGTTGACATCCATCCATCCATTGTTCTATCTGTGCATTCATGTGCCTGTTCATTCAGCAGGTATCTTTGAAGACCTGCTAGTTGCACGCTAGGAGGCTTGAAGAGGGAGCGCCCATGCTGATTCTTCTGTTGACTTGCATTTGCCCAAAATGATATTTTCTTCCTCAATTAAGGGTACATTTTCTAGACCCTTAAGGCCATTTGTTGTCATTTGGAAAAACACATTCAAATGATATCTGGGGAAACAGCCCGTTTTTCAGTTACCATTTGCTAATTAATATGCAGTTACTATTTCTCTCCAAGAAGCAGTATTATCCAAAGCAAGGATGATGGGATGCCCTGAGTTAGATGCCAGCAGGGAGCACAGTGAGCCCTCAATATCCTTGATCCTCTGTGGCTAGCTGTTCCACGTTCCACAGAGAGAGCTTAGGTCAGAAAATGCATTTAACCGTGTTCCCAGGGTCCCCAGTTAGAGAGTGGTGGGGCCAGGACTCTTGAGTTCTGTTTCCTGTATCCATTGTGCTCTACTGCCCTCTTTGGCATGGGAGGGGGGTGGTCCATTTCTAATCTGGCTTTGCCCAAAGACACAGCTCTGTGTCCTAAGATGACTCACATAGCTCAGGCTCCCTGGAGCCTAGAGTAAGGAACTGGAGTCCCTCAGTCCTCCTGCTGCCACAGAGCAATATTCATGGGTGTCTGAATGGTTCTGCTTGGGGAAGGAGAAGGAACATTTCTTAAGGTTGTGAAAGGTAAGTGGTGGCTTCCTCTTTAGCAGATGGAGAAGCTGAGATTTAAGGAGAGGATTTCAGTAATCTGCCCAAGATCTCAGTGCCAGAGAATATGGGATTGGCTATCTAATGATAGAGGCCTGTTCATTTCTCCTCCATCTTCTAGGCTTTTTATTCATTTCTGCAGTCCCAGCACTTGGGAAGATGAGGTAGGAGGATCTTGAGTTAGAGGCAAGCCTGGGCTACATAAGCAAGACCCTATCTCAAAAGCTCAAAAATGAAAGAACCTAGTTATACCTGAGTTCTACTCTGAGTAGTGAGAATGTGGCTGCCATAGTGGGCAGGGAGGGCCCCAGCTCCTCACCTTTTAAAGGTGGGCCTTGGTGTACTGCTGCCAGGCCCCAAGATTTTTCCCTTTTGGCTTGCCAGGTATTGGGGAATTTCACATCCAACCTGATGTTTAGACAGAGCCAATAGCATGCTTACAAAGGCCTTATAATGAGGCCCACCTGCCCCCTCAAGACTGAGTGAGACTGAGGCAAGACTCAATTGACCACGCTGACCTCTGAGTGCTCCTCTCTGCCAGGCAACCTGACATTTGTTCCCTACTGAGATGTGGCAGTGGAGCCAGGGGCAGTGACCCTCACAGAGTAGTGTAGAGGGAGACCATGATATGCATCCACCTAGTTAATCTTCACAACCCAGTTGCAGGGCTGTCTTCTGAGTCCTGAGGTTAAGGAGATCACAGTCATGAGTCTGAGGGGCCCAGACCCCAGCACCTGTGCAGTTGAGCTCTTTTGACTGTTTACCCATCTTCCTCCAGTCACATGAGGGGCTTGACTGGCTGCAGCTTATTCTTTGGAATTTCATGGTACTGAGGAAGAATAGTCTAGATGTAGCCACCTGGGGACCATGAACTGTTGCCCTGCTTACCTCTCTGGCCAGATCCATAGGAAATCTGCTCCTTTCAAGTAATTTGTCAAAAGAATCCAATTGTCTTAGCGATAATATGGAAAGAGACATACTCGTTTTGAATCCCACTACTTTAATTCAAATACATTTCTGTAGATTCCCCTCCAGTGTTTTTCCTCTATATATTTTAGTACTCTGCTTTCCTTGTACTATCCTGTTATATGGACTTGTCACATGGGTCTTCATGACCCCTGTAGTCTGTGACTACAGATCCCATTGTGTGTGTATGTTGGGAATCTACCTAACTCTGCCCATCCTCCATCTTTAGATTATTCCCAGGTTTCTCACTCATGTGAAAAATGCCTGGGTACATCCTTGTTCTCCAAGCTTTCTCTTTCTATATCATTATAAGAACTGGAATTAACAACTACCATTAGCTGAGAAGTATGTACTAAGCACTTGACAAACACCATTTCATTTAATCCTCATGAAAAATGATGGGGTGTGGGGAGTGTTCTGAGCTCTCTGGTAGAAATAGCTGAGCCTCTGAGAGGCTGGCTCTGTCCTTGGTCACACAGCTAGTTAGTAGCAGAGCTGCGCTTCAAACATGTCAGTTTAATGCCAGAGCCCATCTATTCAGCCAGTCAGCTAGGATGGCGTCCACCCTGCATGGTTTAGTATCTGTCTAAAAGGTTAGTGCCACTTCTTCCACCATAGCGTTGGAAACCCTATGGACAAGGAAGAGTCCTGTGGGTATGCTGGTTGGGTAGACAGTGTGTGCACCAAATGGCCAAGTTACGCTGCCAAGGAACTGGAATGTCT